AAAAAAAAGGCAGTCCGGTGCACAAAGCATCATGCATCCGCACCCCTAGAGGTGTGATGTAGACAGCCTACCCTAATGCAAGCATGCGTGGCTGCTTCCACGTCTCGAAACCGTGACGTATGGGGACAACTTTACTATCACTCCAAGACTCCCGTTTCCGCAGATATAGAGATAAATGAAAAGAAAATGGTAATAATGGGGGGAGCATTAAAAGTGTGTAGATTCTCGTAGAAAAAGAGTGATTTCCTGTTGAAAATCATCATTCTGCTTCACCCTTTTTAAAACAGGAACATGTCTAACATTTGAACTATGAAATCAAAAACCATACCATACGAGTGAAAAAGGCTTATTCCTCCAGTTGGTTGAGCAGTCTATTAGTAGTTAGCAATTATCAGCACATTCCTCTTGTCTCTCCATCAATTAGTACCTATAGCAAATTCTACTATTTCACCTCCAGAAAAATCGGCTTTTTAATTCCTTTTCCTCTTTTTGGCCCTTCCCAACTTCTCTTCACTTGTACAATACACATCTTTTGTCCTGCAAGATCAAGAAGTTATTTAGTATTTGTAACAGAAGAAAAATCTGATAAACACAATCATACTGTAGCAAAGTTATGATTGAAGATTCCGAAAAGCGGCAAAACTTTATAACAATAATTAGAATAGGATACCAAATAAATCATACAAACCATATGCAGCAGTGTCCTACCTTCTGTATTTTCCATCTCTTAACCTTTTTCACCATCCCCTGGTACTATTGAACATTTAAGATGTTAATGAATAATTATAAACATGTCCGGTAGATTGGAATATTTACCTGTAGGTACGATACGAACGATGCCATGTTAAGATTGTCCAGAAGTCAGCCACAAGAAAGGAATTAAGTGATGATTAAAGTATCCTATTTCAGCATAATTATAAACTAACAATCATTTCATAGAGGTTTCCAAAGACCAGAATTCGTTAAATAACCAATTGAACCAGTAAGTCAGCCTGTAAGTCATGAATTGCAGGTATTCTTTAAAATCTATAGCAACTGAATCAATAACTGTTCTCTTCTCAGACAAAATTTTAGAGTGCAAAATTGAGGTAAGAAAAATACTGAACTAAAACTTAGTAATGTCCTATATCAGCAGTGTATCTATGAAAGATCAATGTGTGAGATGACACTTAAAAAAAAAAAAAA